TTGTTAAAAATGCATACTTTGCACATTTTGGAACTATCAAGACAAGCCGTGTGCTACGCATAAAGTGTGTCGAACTTGTGTTGAAACTTTGTGACTTTGGAATAAAAGTAAGAAAAATTCAATGCCTTTTGTAATTCCAATATGCAAAAACTAAGAGAGTTACCGTGTATCCAAACCTACCTTCATCAATAAGACCTATAGGTCGTAACGCAAATCTTCCTGTTCCTCATCTTCAAGGTAATATGGAAAATATAAGTGATATAGAAATTTATTCAGATTTGCAAGTAATTGAAGAAGAGGAAAATCTGTATATACCTGAAACAAATGAAACTATACCAATATTAATTCAGAAGTCAAACAACAAAAATCAGCGTTATATTTTCAAAATTTTCACAGTGAACATTTTGTGAAAATTTCTGTGAAAATTTTGAAAATATGCTGATTTTTGTTGTTTGACTTCTGAATTAGTATTTGTTCGGCGTGTTATTGTGTCTTAATTATACCAATATTATTTAATTAAAGTGAGCTTAGTGATTTAGTAAGAGAGCTAAACTTGCCAAAGGAAAGTGCTGAACTTCTTGGTTCACGCCTTACTTTTGTCCTGCAATGATGTCAGTGCAATAGTGAATTTCTTTGGTATTAATCACAATGCTTCTGACTGGTGACTATTTATAGGTTCCTCAAAAAGAAGTATGAAGGTAGTTTCACTTCATAATGGAAATCAATATGCATAGATTTCGGTGGCACACTCTGTTCATTTGAAAGAAACATATAAAAACATTGCATTTTTATTAATGAAAGGGGAATTATAACAAGCATCAATGGCAATCTGGTTACACTAAATTCATGCGATTGGGATAGTCGGAATAAAATGAATCATTAGTAAAAAAATATTGGCTTTCCCGAAAGTGTTTATCACCTGGTTTTAAAACTATTTTTAACAGACCAATAGTTGAATCCAAAAATATTTTTCTTTCCCCACTTTACATTAAATTAGGTATTATGAAACAGTTTGTCAAAGTTTTAAATAAAGAAAATGATACCCTTTAAGTAGATTTATAGCAAATTTCCTTCTATTTATGATGCTAAAATTAAGGAGAGAATTTTTTGTTGAACCTCAAATTCGAAAACTTTTGTTACATTCCGAATTTGAAGCAACGATGTATGATTGTGAAAAAGAAGCATGGTTGAATTTTAAATAGGTGAATGAAAACTTTTTAGGGAACAGGAAACATCCAGATTACAAAATTATTGTAGAAAATATGCTACAAAAATTAAGATTGCTCGTATGTAATATGAGTATTAAAATGCATTTTTTACATACACTCACAGATTACTTTCCAAAGAATTTAGGAAATATCAGTGAAGAACAAGATAAACGATTTCATCAGGATATAAAAGGTGGTGGTGTATTTAATTATGGCAAAGCACAAGAGGGCTATCTGCCTAAGGGGAGGGATGCCTTCGTTGAGGGCTTTCTAAGGGAAACTGGCTCGTATACACGTTACACATGGGGAAAACCACGAAAACGCCCATGCAGCCTGCCAGTTCGCGGGATTCGAACTTCGAACCGAACTACCAGTGTTCTGCGACATTACCGCTCGGCCGCTGGTGGGCGAATATAAAAAGGCATGGAAATACGGTATCAAGGAAAGCTGACTAAAAACATAATGGCAGACTATTGCTGGATGTTGGAAAGAGATGTACCTAGTGAAGAAAGTACCTACAAGCAAGCGAAAATCAACCAAAAAAAAAAAATTCTTGCCTTGAATTAATGCTTTGAAGCTAATGGTTAGCTTTTACACATTCAGTTAATTTTAAAACATGCATTGTATAACAGCCATATATAGAAGTATATTTTTATGTTCTTTGCATTCGATTTTATGCTTTATATAATATACTAAATCTATTACTATGTTATTAAATCTATTTATATACTTTAATAAATATATTAAATAATTTTTTGTTATTGTGCAATTTATTTATGACTTGTATCACTAAAATAAATTCATTAATGTAGGTAAAATAGAAGTGCTTGTAAAAAAATAAAAGCTCTTAATTTGCAAAAATTCTTGACATGATACAGAAATTGAGATTCCATTTTTGAAATCAGCTCTAAAAACATATATGAAATTATCTATTAGATTTAAAACATCCAATTTTTTTTTTAAATCCAGACCAGTGTAATTACCTGAATTTCTTTGTTATATGAAAAGTGCAAAGTAATAATCCATTGAAAAATCAATTTAAGTAATGCAAAATCTGGTTAAAGCGACTTTCTAAATTATTTTACAATTTAAGCTATCAGCGAAGCACAGAAAAAGTAATTTAAGTTGACATTAAGGTTAAGCATTTTTTAAATATCTCTTTAAAAGATAAAAAAGGCTTCTCTTCAAAAGCTACTTTTAAGAATAATAAATGCTATACCTTAATTCATATGTTGAGATGTTAAAGTAAAAACAAGTCCTTTTAAATACGTTATTCAAATACAGTTCGTAATCTGTTCATAAATCTCAAGTGTAAAACTGCATTATTTAGAAAAATTCCTGAGTGCCGTAATAAAGGGAATGATAAAAATAATAGAATTTGTTTATGAAACTTTATAGTTGCATATTTTCGTGAATAATTTTATATTTAGTTAATACATATACAATAATAAAAGAGTAATAAAGAATAGCAAAATTCATAGATAAGACTATATTTTACCTTGATAACTGAAATACATCTGCAAATAAAATATGAAAAAATATTCAATATTTCTTGCTCCATTTCTGTTTTGTTTATTTCAAATAGTAGAAAGTCATGTATATTTTATACCGAAATAGTCTCTTTACAATGGGTAAAAGAAATAGTATTTTCGGACAAAATCAAAGAATAATTATCTGAAATACTTTAAGTACATTTTAAAATCTACTGGAAATACTTTAATTACATTTTAAAGAAAATTTACACCGAAAAAGGTATTTTTATAGCTATGCACAAAATAAAACAGTAGCAAATATAACTCCTTTCTTGATTTAGAAATCCTAGTTAAATTTCTAAGATAATAAATAATTCCTTTGTCAAACTTACTGATCGTTCAGATAAGTATTTCTTTCTAAAATTCTTAAACAAGATCTATTTAAAATTCTCTAAATTTCATCGCTTACATGCTAATATAAAACATACAGTATTAAATATTGAATAATTAAATAAATATTGTAGTTATAGGTAATATGTAATTGTAGTTAAAACAGTTGTATTTATAGTTAAATGTCGTGACATAGCAAATAAACAGCACTTACGTACAATTTTGTTTACTCTTCAATTTTTAGATTGCCTAATTACTATTCGTTATTATTTGCTTCATGTACAACAGGCCACGAAATATAATTCTTTATAAGTATTAAGATATGTTTAAAGCCTTTATCCTAAAGGAAATCTTAAATATTGATTGTTCAGATAAAAAAATAATGTAACTGTAGTTAGTAAAAAATTTACCTACTGTAACTATAACTGCTTTTAAATAAAGTAATATTGTAAAGTCATTATTATTATTTTTTTTTTTTTTTTAAGTGGACACGTCAAAAATCTGCAATGCCCTTGCGAAGACTCGAACCCCGAACCTCTCGAATACGCGCCGAGTATGCTCCCAATTTAACATTTACACCAGGAAGGTATGCGGAAAGAAGAGAGAATATACCTTGTAATTAAAAAGCACTACTTGAACAATAGTTTTGTTTACTCTGGAGTTTTTAGATTGCATAATTATCACAAACCGTTATTGCCTAATTGTATAACTGCCTGCAAAATGTATTTTTATAAACTTTAAAAATGTTAGCATATTTTTAAACTTCTATCCCAAGTAGGATGTTAAATATAGCATTAAATAATGTATGGTTAAATAAATTTATAATTATAGTTAATGTATCATTAATTTAGATATTATTATAGCTAATTATATTTCAATAAAACAATATAGCCGATGAATAATGTTTGAATATAACTTACTATGCAAGTTTTAAATTGCGTAGTCTTAATATACAACTACCTATAAAATATAATTCTTTATGACTAAGACGCGTTTAAATGTTCATCCTAAAATAAATGTTAACTTTCCAAAATAAAAACAACTTTTAATAACTTTTCGTTTCTTAAACTTTTGTGTAATACTCTAATGGTCAACAAGTCTCCAAAGTATTACAGTACTGCGTAAATAACCCTAAAGTCTGTTACACAGTTCTGTGTACATTAATATGCTGTGAAAGATACTAAAGCAGAAGTTCTCAGCCAGGAAGGAATTTCATAGTTTCAAGGAGGGGAATGCTATCAGCCTTTTATTTAGCTATTAAGCATTTAGTTTTAGTTTACGAATATATAAAACTACTTTTATTCAAGGTTTGGTACATTTTCTATACATTTTATTGTTTAATTTGTGAAACAGGTTATAAAATAATCTAAATCTCAGTAAACGTATATATGTATTTTCGAGTTTTGGAAAGGAGGGGGCAATGATCTTATAGCGATAGTGAAAGGGGTGCATGGAGCAGAAAACATTGAGAATCAACTGCACTAAGTAATACTACTTAAGAGAGGATAAATATTTCCTCAAATTCTGTTCAGTAGCTCAATAATCTGCTGTAATTTTCTATATAGTAAAATTACTCGCTTATTACTACAATATTTAAAAAAATGAAAAAGAATCCTAAAAAATTTACTTTTTAGCAGGAAAGGGCATACTCATTTTTCAAGGCTTTTATACGTACCTCGATAAGAAAGAAGAGCAACACGAAAACTACCAAGCTTATTACCGAAAACCACACTTCCTCGAGCAATTGAAAAACCTTGTACACTTCGATAACTCACTTTTTCTTCATAGGAAATGACGTAAGTTTTGGGATAAGCGGGAATGTGATAGTATAGATTAAAAAAAAGTGTAATGCTGAAAATGATAATAAATATAAGCGTTTATAGAGCTTCTGTTTTTTATCTCTTGAAAATGCTAGTAACTCTCAAAATATTGTAAAGTATTAATCGCATTCCAATATTTATTATTGCAGGAAATAATTGTTATTATTATTATCCTTAACTTATGCCAAATGCTGTTTCTAATTCAATGACAGCTTTAAAATATTTAAGAAATTTTCTTTTTGTGCGCTGTATTTATAGGAAGGACTACTCAGTGAGTTGTGTATATATATAGATAGATAGATAGATTATATTAATCGAAGTTTAGAGGTTTATAGGAAAAATTTAATATTAATCTAATATTTTCTGTTAATAAGAATGCATTTGTAATTATACGCATTAAGCGAAATCCAAGAAAGTTATGTTCAGTTTAGTATTGCGTATTTAAGCTTGACCAAAAAAGCTTATGTTAAATAGTTACGGCCTTAAAAAGTTCGAAATTCTTTTGAAATAACGGAAAATCTTAAAACAGTACTAATAAATTCCCTAATGTGACTTTGTAAGAGCAGACTTGTACTATTTTTTCTTATCCATGGATATAAATTCGAATATAAAATTTCATAACAGTTTACAAAACAATTAAATAACAGTAGTAGTTCCACCTTGAATAACCCAATTATCTTTGTTCTGAGGCAATATACCAGCAAATACAATAAAAAATATTAATACAAAAACTGTAAAAAGGGTTGGGAATACAATTTTTGCAGTGTCCTCTATTTTAATAGAGAGTTCTTTAGAAGGCATCTTTATTATTCTTTCAGTGGCGGGAGTTCTCAACCAAGCCATTCTTAATTTACCAGTCTTTTCTTCCTCCTTCTCCTTTGATGCTTCTGCTTCGGTTACCACTTCATGCACTTGGGACTTGCTAGCCTATGCAATAAACAGACCTTATTTTATTAAATAAATAGCGAGCAGAACTTTCAAACTAAATAACTCCGCTTCTATTCACTAAAGCGTTAGATTTGTGCACTAGCAAACCACACTCCCAAAAGTTGGAAAAGATATTTTAAAGGTAAAATATAAGCAACTCGCTGAGCATATTAAGGAAATGTGTACTATTATGATTAGCAAATAACGGTTTTTAACATAAAGAACAAAGTTAAAGGGGCATTCAGTAAGATAAATGGCTGATCTGTTTTCTGGGTCAAACTGAACTCATTGATGGCTGATTACAAATTGATTTTAAAAAACGTGAAAGAAACAGAAGGTGCTAGAAACAGTCAGTAACTTAAAAGAAAGAAAAATAACTAATTACTAATAACTAGGTAAAAATGTACAACGAATGAACAGTGTTTTTTCTTTGCTGTTATATAAAGTACTTTGTGAGGATTTATTTACTTATTTTGATTAATAGTTGTTTCTTAGTTAAAGCTACTTCCATTTCACTCTTCGTTTCACCCACGTCTTTCATGCTAGAATGTAAATTAGATAACACGCGTTTATTCAGACTAAGGGAGAAAATTACCTGCACCTTAAAAATGCGTCTTATAACAGCTATTTATAACTTCTTGAATTACGACAGTTCCAGTTACTCATATTTTATCGATTGCAGCTTAAATAGCATTTATATAGGCATCTACTTCAATGATATGTTTCGTACGAAGCTCACATAACTCTTAAAATCCGTTTAGAGTGGTCTAAAAAGCAATTGAATTTGTAAGTAAATAATGCAGTACATAAGGAAAAGTGTAAATATGTAATGGTGAAAGCATCAAAATTTTATTTAATATCCAAAACCAGCGGGTGTATGCAAGTATAAAAACATAAAATGTGATCAAGAAGCTAGAGAAGTAAATATGCGAATAATATCAAAGTTAATTTATCTTTCAATTTAACATCTTCAGCAGTAAGATTTTATTCGGAGTTGTTATTTGTACAATATTAGTTAACGTAAATACTTCAGCAAGAATTATCATAGTTATAGTAAATAATAGTTACATAAAAGAGGATTGTTTTGTGTATCCCTGTAATTTCTAGAATGCCAGTTCTTAAATTTATTTTGAGCGCAACTCAATTCTTACTACCATCACCGAATCACATCAAACTAGGCGTGTATATAAAATAAGTTTGTGTCTATGTTTGAAACAATTTTTGTGACTTACGTTAATTTCATAAAACATTTACTTTAAATAGCATTTACAATTATATTCCTAAATATTTCCAACTCAGAAATAAATAAAATAACTTTTCAAATGCTGGTATGTAGTTGTGTTTCTTGTGTCTGACTAGTAGAACACTATTGTCTGAAATAAAATATACTAATAGTCATTGAAATTGTTATACCAGGAAGGAAGCGTACAACAAACCTGAAATTGGCATGAAAGGCAAAACATAAAAATGACTAACATTTCTTAGCATGTGAAATTTATAAGCAACAGACACGACTTTTTGAAGCAGAACAGAATGAAAGATTGAAATATCGATTTTTCATTCACAAATCGCGTCTATTCGCTTTTTTTTTAATATTGGAGATCGCTTTATGCCTCGTGTAAGAACAAAGAACTCATACCAGCGCATCTCAGAATTCAATCTCGGGAGAACAGCACTACAACAGGATTACGGATAATCGTACCTCGCAACTGCTGCAAACACAGAACGACTGACATGCAAGATGTCAACGGTTGACACTCATCATTATCTAAGACACAGACATGTTAACTGCATCGATGTTAGGGATCGTATAGCTGTTTCACATGCAACGCTACTGATTACCAACAAGGCAACCATTGCTTTGGTTTCCATTGATGCTACAGGACAGGAATAAGCGCCTGTAATGGTGCTTCCATCGGCGCACATGGACGTATAAATGGCGTGAACTCATCTTTCCTCTAGAATATCGCCTTTTGCTTATAGCATCATTATAGCCTTATCCGTGTGTGGAGACATTGAAGGAAATAAATGTTGGGCAGGTACATTCGTCTTTGGCATACCAATCTGACACTTAGACTGACGATATGAATTGCTGCTTACACATCTCTTTCTAGTTTGCTATCCGGTACTTCGACCTAGTTGTCCTTAAATTCCTGATGCTATAATGACCGTGACTGTGTCATATCTTCGGAAACTCCGTCTTCCCACTTTTCAATGGAATACTATGAGACCAAATGTTGTCCACGTTGCCCAACTTATTCTTAATAAGCAGGAGAAAATTAAGTGGAGAGGACACCAGAGTCTTACCGAGGGTTTTACAGGTATACAATCTGACTGTACACCTCCATCCGAGTTTTGATGCAGTACACCACGGATGGCGGATCATAATATCTCTCACCCCTGATACCTTACATTTCACCTCCCACCAAATTTCTATAGAGGACTTTCGTATTGTAAATGCCCTCATTCTGTACAGATATTATGCACTTACATACATCTAAGCTTTTCCCGGATTCAAATTTAAACCCAAAGAGACAGCAGCCAGAGATTCTAATCACTGTATCGGTCCGCTCCTTAATGCAAAGGTATTCGACTTCTGTCTTGGTCGGTGCGTTTCTCCACACCTCTCATCTAGCCAATGGTTGCGGAGATATTGTCATGTTAACGTCTTTCTGCCAGTAAAAGAGACAATCTCAGGCATGAATCCGCAGGGACTGCAGTACTCATAATTACCATCTAAAATCTGTTCGAATCTATGCGAATCGTATAATTATTATTATTGATTTCTTCAAATTCTGTAATACTAACTGCTTATCTAAAATTAACAAGGAAAAGGCATAATTTTTATGGTACGATATTTTATGTATATTAAATGAAATTCCTACATTTGTTTCAAATTCTGTGATCTAAAAGTTTACAAATAAGGAAATGTATTCCTTGATTATATGGTTCGTACTAACTATTGCTATCAGTGTTTTTTTAATTCGAATTCCTATTTAAAATATCATTACTAAATTTTCTGGTTTGGGTTTCCTTATAGATCTCCTTTTGTTACATGGAAGCATAAACTGCGACTTAAATTTTTCTATTACATGAGTTTTCAATTGATAAATGATGTAGTAGCTTTACCTACAAAACAAAATTTTAATTGTAAAAAAAAATAAACAATACATTTTGAACACTTTCATTTTAAACATTTGGAACAGAGGTATCTTATTTTCTGTTAAAAATACAAAATTAAAATACATATTTTGAATCATAAAGTGAAGTAGATATTTCTGTTTACGGTTACGCAGGAAACAAAGCATATTCTTTTTTTCAGCAATATCAATTGCAACAAATACTTTTCTGAATCTACAAATGCAAATTCAACAAACTTTTGCTATTAATTAAGGTGAAAGGCATTTTTCTAAAAGAAAGATCAGTTTTACGTAGCATGTTAGTAAATAGTTTATTTGCAAGAGATAAACAAATCTCCTAATTTTCCATTCACTGTGAAACGAAGACATGGCATTTTCGTGCGTGTTGAATGAGAAAAGTGCTTTCCTTTCTTTATGGCTGCAAAATTTCCGGTTAATAGCTTTTGTTTTCTGTATATTGTCAGTCCCTGCTTTCAAATAAAACTTTCACGTGACAGCTTCGCCATAATTTGTTAGGATATTTTGTGCGTTTGTTTTTATAGTCCATTTAGGGAAATGCATTAATTTCTATGTACTTTCTAACCTGAGTCTCCACTAACTATCAATAAGTGCTTTTTGTCAGTGCGTTTTCGCACTTTTATTGAGAGAGCTATTTGCTTCTCTTAGAAGCTTTAATAAAGTTAACTAATATTAAATGATATACATCGATGCGTTTTGTTTGTTGGTATCTTCTTTATGAGCTCAAGGCATTTGTGTTGTAAGACGCCAAATATAGTACTGATAACATTATTTAGTAAATTGTGAACCCATCCTTTAACGAAATATATTTTTTTTACAAAACGATACAATTCAAGTAATTTTCCATCCACATGTACTTACTTGCTTACATTTACTGCATGGCCCATCTTGAGGTTCTTTTGGAGGCTTTCTGTAGAGATAGTTTACAAATACAAATTCTAAAAGGGAACTGTAGATGAAGAACATGCAAACGAAATCCCACAGATTCATGGCAGTGAGATTCGACACGACAGGCAAAGATGATCGAAAATTGTTCGTTGTAGTGCAAAAACTAAGCATTGTAGTCACACCAATCATTACTCTGGCTGGGACAACATTTTTATCAAGCCAAAAACTGATAAAAGAACTTGCCACCAGTATGATCCCAGGCACAAAGACTGTACTAAAGTAGAAATTCTTATCTCGAGTGAAGACTAGTAATATATGCAAGCAGCTAAAATTGCCTAAAAAGATGAAAGACGATTAAGAAATTTTTTAACACTATAGTAAACAAATAATGGACACTAGTTGATGTTGAAAACATATTCTTCTGCATTAAAGTTGGCTAATATCAAAGCATCAACATTATAATAATATAAATTTTTCTTATAAAATATTTCATTTATTTACATTTATTTTTGAAAAACTTTAGCATTATGCAACAAAGTACTTTATATATATATATATAAGCTTGCATACGTAGTTATATTACAAAGAAGCAGTTCATTTAAAATAAGTTAAATGCATGCGGTATCTAACTTTTAAATACGCTGCTACACCAGCCATGAGTATTTTACAAGGTCTTAACCAGTAGCGAAAGTCTAGTCCAGTAGCGAAAGATTGCAAACAATCGCATCAATCACAATTGTCCTCATTCGAATTCGAGCCAAGATCCTCCAATTACTATCACGACGTGCTACCAGTTACACCACGGGTAAAAGTGTAAGAAGTCGCAATAATTCCATATACGACACTTCAGTATGAAAATATACATACTTCGTTGAAAAAATATTGAATGAAGATTTACCCCTTAAAGACAGAAGTAAGAAAGAGCCAAAAAAAATCTCTATGTCTGGTAAATTTTGAAAAAACACTTCCAGTCCTGATTTAGCAGGCTGTTGAGATTGTGCTTTTATAAAACAATAAGTAAACTATTCAAAAGATCAGTTGTTACTCTGTTATCTTCTAAGTAGGGTCCTCAAGCTTTGTTTCATCTTTGAAAACTGCTAATCCGCTGTGGATACACTTGCGAGAAGTGTTCATAAAGAACTTTGAACAGTTCATAATTCTCAGAATCATTATTGATTTGCAGTTGGAAAAATGCTCTCGATGTCATAACCTAAACCTTCTTTTCGCCTTTAAATCTCGGTCTGATTTTCTCCATTTCGTGATGCTAATAGCGTGGAAGCTTGGCTCGCGTGTCTAATTTCATTTTTCTTTTTTCATCAGGAAATGCCATTTCATTTATTCAGTTCTGCCATCCAGGCTTTGGTATATTCTGCCTACATTAAACGTAAGCGTTTACTTTAAGTTATAGACGATAGCTGCCCTCAGGGGCTCACTCTATGTTATTATGGATGTGACAATCCCGAGGCACTCTAGTCCTTAAGGGGATCACCTTCTTGTTAAGACGAGTGTCCAAGAGCTAGAGTAATCTTTTCCTCTCTTCTTAGTTGTTTCTTTTTCCTTCCTTTCTAGGACGAAGTTTCCTTCTCGAAAGATGGGTTTCACCATGAGATGCTATTACAAATCTTTCGCATCTGGCTTAACTGTGACGAGAAAACTGCCTATGTATTTGTTGTCGAAGACCCGTGTCGCTGGAAAGGACGAGTCTTGAATGAAGACACACTCCCAGCCACACTGTTTTAGTTTATACTTCCGTTCAAACGAAAGGCATTTAACTGGCCCCGCAAGTGTCAATCATCTGGTCACTAGTGCTTTGTGTCAGTGGCTTGGCGGTAAGCTTCCGAGAGTTCCTATTTTCGGGAGAGCTGACTCCATAGTTATAGTTTCAGTTTGAGTATAGACTCAGTTAACCTTACTGCAGAAATATGCATTCCCTTGTTGAACCCCATAGAGAGTGGGACCGAGAGTCTGAATCTTTTTACTCTCAAAAATGGTTCTTCAAAATCAAACCTGTGCTTCTGAAATTTCAACTTCGTCCTCTGCGAGAAAGACAGAAGCAAACGCAAATGCCAGTGCTGTCCCAGATATGAGTCCTTTTCGCTATGTAGTCGGCAACAGTTCTTCAGGTGATATAAAAAAACTCCCTTCTGGGTAAATAAGTACACCAATTTACATGTCGGCATAAAATATATGAAATGGCTCAGCTCTAGTGATCTCCTGACTGAAGCCTTCTTACCTACACAATAATAGTCACTTCTGAGGTTAACTAAATTTGACCATATCGATGTAAATATCTTAGCACATGAAACACTCAATTAGAGTAGAGGCTTAATATCAGAAGTGGATCTCCTACGCGTATCTCAAGAGGAATTTGTGAGCGAGCTGTTCGAATATAATATGCATTCTCCTAGGAGGATCAAGATGTTTAGAGAAAATCGAAACGAAACACGTGATCCTTATCTCCAGTTCCCCTGATCTGCCAAAACATGTGAAAGCTGAGTACTTCTACTGTTCAATATATAAACCTATACCAACAGCTCTTTGTTAAATTTTCAGTGACACTTGTAAAACCTCTCCACTATGAATAAACTGCAAAGGAGAACACTCTGCATTCTTACGGATATTTTCCATATGGAAAACAGAGAAAAAGTTCAATCAATTAAAGCCATGTACGACGATGTTAGAAGAATCGTTGGAAGTACTTAGTCATGAAATATGATGTCATATGCCAAAGCCAAAAAATCTGTTAATTTGGTAAGTACCTAAACTACACTATTCAGAATAGGCAAATTGCTTCTGTACAGGCAGTACCTTACATTCAACACCAAATTGATAAATTACATATACTATAATGCAGAACAAAAGCCTGAAGATAACTGACAACATTCTAGAATGTAATTCTCAAAATGAATAATTAAAACCCAAAAATACAGAAACCTCAGAAACAATTCAGCAGAGAATATTTTCTGATTGAAATAGATTCCCTAATATATATAGATGTAGTACTAAATATTCGTAAACATCCTTTTCCGCACGCAACAAAGCAAAATAAAACAGCCCCATCAAATGGTTAATGGCAACCTCATAACTTGGAACTGCCATGGAATTCTATCAAGACGTGCTACCAGTTACACCACGGGTAAAAGTGTAAGGAGTCGCAATAATTTCATATACGACACTTCCACCAGGAATTATGAATATTAAAAAGTAATTAAGAAACATCACCAAGTTTGTTTTGCAGGGCAAGAAATTATTCTGAAATCAAATGATTTGCCAAAGCTGCGAAGGTGCTCTGTCATCAGGGAGGATAAAGTCAGTAGTAATCGTGTTTGAAGAAGTGTTGCTCTTGTCATCTCCCATTACTATTCATCAACTGTACTTGCGTCAGCAACAGTTTTTCAGGCTGTTGATATTCAGGCTAATAGAAAAGGATTCCATAATAATACCTCTATTAATGTTTCACCGAATGATGCACTCATAAGACACAAATGTAAAAAGGGGAATTAAAACATACTATTTATATGTGGAGTAAAAGTTGCATCACGGAACGCAAATAGGCAACAAAAAATAGCAGAAGACTCAATCCCGCAGTCATAAAACGCCTAAAAAGGAACATGCCGGGACCTGAGCGTCAGTTCAACAAGCAGCCATAGTTCCGTGTAATCCGAGATAGCCAAATCGGAAAGCATGAGCCGAAGACACCATTTGCACGATTAAATGCGATGGAGGGCTGTCAGGATGTTGCAAGACAATCCATTGTTAGAAAAAAAGCTGAATGTGTATCATACTGTCATCAAGAGGCTGTGGAATTATTACCAAATGAATCAAAACTCTGTAAACGATGTGGGTCAGTACGACGGAGAATTACTACAAGGCAGACGATCGCTTCCTGTTGCTATGTGAAGGACGCCGTAGATAACTATCAGCACGACAGTGGGCGTCACACCTTTCTGCTGCTGCAGGACCGCCCACATCCCGCCAAACTGTGTCGCGTCGACTCCATGAAGGTAGACTGTACACCCGACGACCTGTGATTTGTGTTCCTTTGTCCCTCATCGCATGTCACGACGAGGTTGAATTGAACCCGTAAACTTCGCAGTTGAGCACCACAGCAGTGGGGCCATGTCCTCTTTATGGATGAGTCTCTATTTAACATCCAGAACGATCCCCGAACGGCTATGATATGGCAGCGACCAGCTACATGCTATCGGGTGCCAAACATGGTCGAAACAGACCATAACAGAGAAAGAGGCTTACCTGTATGGGCTGGGATAGCAATGAACGGCCGCACCGACCTCTATGTTTGATGGTCCATCACAGCCGTCCGGTATTGAGACAAAATTCTACACCCTCTTGTGCGTCCTTTTATCGCTGTATTGGATATTGGCTCAATATTTATGGACGATAACGCCCGTCCGCATAGAGGTCGAGTGGTGCGAAGCTATCTAGAGAGTAAAACCATTCCTCATCTGCAGTGGATTGCAGATGTGAAACCGAGATGTCATCGGACCTGAATCCCATAGAGTATATGGGGGACATATTGAGACGACCAACAGCAGGTCGCAGTTTGCCTCCAGGCACCCTCCACCAAGCTTCTACATGCTACTGCCCAGGAATGAACACAGGAATGAACGCTACTGCCACAACAAGAGATAAACGACACTATTGCTAGCTTACCTTGACGTTGTCAAGCATGCATTTCAGCCAGAGGTTGTCAAATCCGTTAATCAGCGATATATTTTCACTGCACATTTTTCCGACCTATTTGGTCTTTCGCGATGTGATGGCCGTAACGCATATGTTTTTGTATGCCTTTGTTTTAGTTTGCTATGTAGGCTAATAATGCCACACTAACCTCTTGGATGAATTTCATACATATACATTAAACAGTTTCTGTGTTATTCCGTATTTTGCCTTTTTTTGCTTATTTTTTTGAGCAGGAGTATATTAGAGACAGAGATGCTAAGACTCCGCTAGAAACTTTTATTTATATTAGGTACTTTAATGGCTACAGTCCGCTCTGGGCTAGCAAGGAATCAGATCCGTAATATAGATACATTGAGGAAATTATCGAAGATCATTGCCTTTGTTTTCTCAATAATAAGCGTATAATTATTTCCACGAGCCTACAAGAACCTTTCATACTGTGATCTCGTCATCTGCTCACCACACCTCTTGCCCTTTTATCATCTTCCCCCTTTTGTATCTTTTAAAGGGAAGGAGTTGGTTCCATCTCCAGACCTCCCTATTTTATACTTGGCAAGGCAGATTGTTAACTTTTCTCAAATCTTGTGGAGCTTACCGAAGAAATGGTAAATGACGTGTCTGTCGATGATGC